ATCGCTAGTAGTAACAGGTGCCTTACTAGTAGTAACAAGGACGCTACAAACTGTGGACACTTCCTGACCGCTTTGGATCTGCCGAGCAGCTCCACTTGAGCCAGACCTGCCGATCAAGGGTCACTTCCCAGCGCCGAGGAACGAAGAGGATGAGCCTCAGGTGGTTGAAGAGGTGGATGTCTGGAAAGCTGCCAATATCATGGACATAGGCGCGCTGGGGCAGAGGTTTGCTGGGGTTTCTTGAGACACTTGCAGTATAAGCAACTACTGCCAGCATGGGTGCCAGATGGTGCGAAGCTTGAACAGAAGCCTTGGCATGGTTTTAAAACTTCTAATTTATATATTATTTATCATAGCTTCTTGTTACTACTAGTAAGGCACTTGTTACTAGTAGTGATGCACTTGTTCCTAGTAGCTTATTGTCAGAAGCCTACGGAAGATGTGCTGCATTTTGGAAGTATTCCTCGGACAGTGTAGTCACCCGTGTGCTTCGGCGTGTGCCTGGGGAGGACACTCCCCCCGTGTTGGAACGGAGGTCGTCTCGACGCTCCGACCGGGGATCGGAACGAAACCAGGCCCAGTGGGTTCTCCTGGCCAAACCCTTCTTCATCTTCTTCCGATTTGGTGACCAGGGAGAGCACATGAAGAAGCGAAGTCTCCATGAACTGCTTGAACATGAAAAGTCCTAAGTTTGAGTCATACTCGAAGTGGTTTCACGGGGTGGTGGTGTTTCCAAACTACATCACCGAAAGCTGGTAGTCCACTTCCTTGTAAGTTTCATGGGACTTTCCGAATGGATCAGGACGAATGGTCCTGGTATGCCAGGATGTTTTTTGGCCGCCACACTTATTACAGTCTGTTTTTCGACAGGAAGACCAACATCTCCTCAGCTCTTTGGATCTTGCATGATCGTGCAATAATCCTCAAGTACGGGAGCGCTCGCAGTATGCTGAGATTGATCAAGTTGCAGGTCAGAGAGGGTGGGGCTGGATTTCTTCCTATACTAGGGTAGCTAGGGCAGCGGGCAGGGCGCATCATACCTTACCCCGTTTGGAATAGCTTGGACCAACATTTTTTTCCTGGTCCCTCCCACAGCCAAACCCTTACACCAAAAGTTTTTGGCAGTGGGGGGGACGAGAAAAAATTGATTGATTGATGCCATTGTTCAAGAATGACATTTCCGGGAAGACTACTCATCTACTCACTGTACATTCCTCCTTTCTGGGGCGCCTCACCCTCCTTTTTGGGCACCACCGCTCTCCTTCTCCGCTGGCGTCGGGCCGGCGCTCTCAGGCGACGGGGAGCCGCTCTTTGGGAAGTTCACCTGGGAAGACTGGATGATGTTGGACCTCCGGGTGCCCTGGAAAGCTCTCCGATGGCGGCGAGAGTGTGTCGTTGCGTCGCTGCGTTGTTTGTCTTTTTTTCTCACCTGGCCGGTGTGGAGTTGGTGGATTTGATCAGAGCTGTCCTCGAAGTATATACTGTAGTTCTTTTCGCTTTGTTTCATGCGTTTTGGTTGAAGCCACGCATTGTGGCGTGCTGGGCGAGAGATGGCGAGATAGATCATCTGAGTGAAGATGCAAGATGGTGCTGAGTTGCCGAGGAGTAGGTTTTTGAGAGAAGGCAGGTGGTACAGGGGAAAGATGACAAAGAGATGTGCCCCCAAAATGTGTGTAACCACACTCCTATTGTTGAGCCATGATCTTAAATTCGATTGCATACCTGGCGATGTAGATTGGGACTCGATGGGGACAACGGCTTTCTCCATGTCCTGTCAACATTTTTCTCACCACACGTTATAGACAAATCTGATTTGTGACCCCAAACCGGATCATTCTCAAGCATTTTTGCATACTCCGATCTGAGCCCGTGCCCGATGGAGGGATCTCATCTCGCTTGAGCTTCAGACGTTGATAGATCGGGTCAATCAACCACAGTCACAGTAATCCACATCCTGATACTTTCGCGTGTACCAGCCCAGAAGTCACCGATGGGCGTCCATTGAAGACTCCTCGGAAGGTTTCTATAATGCCAATGTTAATTTTTGCAATGGATTGTTTGCTCTCTCCCGACCTCTACTACATGTCGGCTCGAAACGTTTGAAAACGACACCAAGTGTTTTTCTGGTTGCAGAGAGAGCCTTGTCCCAAGAACAAAAACTGAGCTCTTTAAGCCACAGAACAATCGATCAGATTCGTAGGAACTACCACTGGCCATACACTGCCCATACATCATCACATGCGTCACATGCGTCTCATTAGGAGTACTGAGTACTCCATGTTTTTCTCTGAACCCGCTCTTTCGCCCTTTTTTTTCCCATTCGAGAAAGCGGGTCTGGCAGGTTCAGCTGCACTTATTGGTGCACGGCTATAAGCATGCCATGAAGGATCCCGATCGAGTGCCTCACTTTGCATCAACCATCGGGGTTGGAGCGCCTGGACGGACGTGCGCTGAGAGCGCTATGCGTCCAAGGGGGAAAGAACGACGTCCGGGTCCTCTTTCTTGGAGTCCCTCCGGATGACTGGGCTCTCGGTTCTCCCCAGCAACTGTCGACGTTTTCAGTGGAACTGGATACAAACCCATCATTCACCTCATTCAGAGCTCAAACCCACTCATCAAACTCAGATACAACACCATGACTCTTCAGACTTCACCATCCGTCACCATCCTGTGATCCATCTCGATACATTTGGCAAGATCACATCTCTGAAGGAAACGTTCAAGCTAAGCAAGTGCAAAATGGACATGGGGACATGTTGGGACGCGTTGAAGCGCAAGCAGAGTGAGCAGAGGACTGAAGAGAGGCTCTTTTGTTGGAAGAATACTAAATATTTTGAATCTATATACTTTTGAGGTCTGAATGGTGCGGAAAATGGCCTCATCCAAGGAATGATTGCCCAGAGAGGGCAGGTCCACGCAAGTCGACTGGCTCAGGTTTGTAAGACTCGTCAGACACTTCCAGCTTCGCCACATGACAGATGTTTCAAGTTCACCATCTCACCGCAGCGTTCTTCACCATGAGCACCACATATCACCGATGAGTTCGCGCCAACTTGGTTCCGTCATCACCTGCGTTTGGGGCCGCGGATCCCACGGCGTCGGACGGATGGTTCCGCGGCGTTTCCGCCGCGTTCCTCGAGGTGACCTTCCACGAACGCCACACGGAGTTCTACTTCGAGATTTTCTATCGACGGGCCTTGAGCCTGAAGAATCTCGGGTTGAGGTGTTGGTTTACTTGGTAGAGAACCATGGTATGGCAGATGCACCTTCTTTCAGACGGGGCCCAATCATTTCAGGCAGAACAAGATTGGGTTTAATAAGGTCTTTGGCTGATGAGGTGTTATATATTTCTCTATGATGTGCCATTTGTGTTGTATGTGCAAGTCGTGGAACCCAACGCACCGGTCCAACAAGTTCAGGAGAATTATGGACGAGGAACTTCTTCTTGTGGATCCCTAAACTCTAGATCTTCAAGTCCGAGACTTCTGGATGACCCGCCATGACCCGCCCACCATGGCAATCCAATCAACTTTGGCATCACATGTTTCTTTTTTGAACTTTGATCGCTTTCGCCTCCGCCGTGGCCTCTTGAATTCGCCCACGTGACGTGGACGTCGTGGAACCAAGGAATTTCGGCGTGAGCAAGGTCGTGGAGTTGCTGGAGATGGTGAATGACACCATGGGACTTCACCCCACGTCGCTTGGTCAGTCATGGGGTCGGAGGAGATGTGCGAAAACCGCGAGCATTGGGCGTAACATGCGCGGCTTCCATGGGCGATTCGGGACAATCACCTTGTGTCCCATGGGTGAGTGGCGATGTTCCGCCATCGGCTAAATCTGTTGATCTGAGAGCGAAGTAAAAAGACTGACCGAAGCTTTGCAGGTCACCAACTCCAAACCAAGACACGCTCGATGTTCTGTAAAGAATCATCAGAATTCATCAGAATGTGTTTAAAGATTTTGTTTGGGGATCCAGGGCACTCCGGATCACGAGGAAATGTGTGCTGGAACCCCAGATGAAGGATGACGCGCCCTTCGAGTTGCTTGGTCAGTCCGGGATTCGTTGGCTTTTTTTGGCTTTTCGCGATTTCTACAGCGAGACAGCCGGCCACTTCGCATCCGCAGGCGGTTTCGACGCTCCGCTCGAAGCGAACGCATGACAACCGACGCTCGTGGACCGCTCGCCCGGATCTGGGTCTGAAGAGAACTCTGCGAGCGAACTCTGCGTGGCAAGAACTGCGATCTGGTACGCATGCCATAGGAACGACCATACGAACTACAGGGTGGGTCCCACGCGCTGTGAACACAGTTCCTGTTTTTTCATTGGAGCGAACGCAGACGGACTGCGCGTTTATCACTCAAGAGCCAGGTTTACACGGTTTATTGATACGTCTTCTCAGGTGTACTCACCCTAAGATGGCTATAATCACCATTTTGGAGATTGTTTTCCCTACTACTCGTAGCACTGAACGGGTCGAACATGAATGCCCCCAAAAGCTTATAGCGACACTGATTGACATTCCAGGAACCTTCTACGCCTGGTGGAAGATGCTCGCCGCTTGCGTTGGCAGCGCTTAGATGCGGGGGACGAGCTGGCGGCCCTAAACCTGGTTCCCCCAAGCTCCGCCACCCGCGGTGCCGGTGCTCGCCCCGTGGGCAGTGGGGCGCATGGTGGATATGGGGGACGGGCACACTCCTCCAATTACACCGGGCGGCAGGAGCGGGGGTCTGAGTGAGTGTTCAGAGATGTTCAGATGTTTGGCAAAGATTTGTTGGTATCCAGTCGAAGCTTTCTTAACATGTCAGTGTCTTCTCACATCTTCATTTTGCTCTACGACTCTACAAGCAACCAACTCACCAAGCTCACTTCCAACTCCTCCCTGCCAACGCAGGAGTTCCGTGGTGAGGACACCAAGGGCGAGTCCCGTGGCCGTTGGGGCGACCGTGGCAAAGACCGCGGGAAGGGCGAGCGCGGCCGCTGGGAGGAGAGCGGTGGCCGCTGGGAGGACCGAAGCAAAGGCCGAGGCCGGGGGCGAGGAGAAGACGAGAGGGGCGTCCGATCGCTCCGGACTCGTAGTGACAGGAGCCCCATTCGTAGCGAACATTGTTCCTAGATGTTCCTAGTATTATAAGGCCAGGAACCCCGTTCGTAGCGTCCTTGCTCCTAGTAGTTCGTTTGGAAAAGTGACACTTTGGTGTCTTCGTTCAGGAATCTTTGATGGTTTCTTGCATGAATTTGCTGTGAGTAGAGCTGCAAAATGGGCGAACTAGAGCTGCAAAATTGGCGCCAGGCATTTGATAGAAACACCCTTCGAATGCCCGGCAAGTGACCGGGGGATATGTGAGTTAGAGAACTGACTATTATAGGTGGTTCCAGTGAGGCTACTCGTCTTCTTCAGAAAACATGCCGAGTCGCCCTAGGGCTCAGGCAGAGTTGCACGGGACAAAATCAAGCCCGCCCTGCCCATTGAGGACCCATCGGGCCAACAATCGACTCCCGTCCAGGCTATGACCGGGATCCCAATAGCCGCTATAACGCGCGGGACGGCGGCGGCCGCGACAGCAGCGGCCGCGACGGGTGGCGCGACGCAGGTGCTCGCGACATGGGCAGCCGAGACGCGGGCGGCGGGCGCCCGGCCAACCGACGGCCGCCGCCGGCGCCGCCTGCGCCGCGGGAGTATGCCAAGAGGTACCCAGAAGAGCTGGAGTCGCTCGAATGTGAATAGACGGGACTGGTTATCATAGCTGAAACCATGATTCTATATAGAAGCAAGCATCAGAAAAGTCAGAGGAAGGTTGGAGCTATACTTATTAACGATAACCTTGAGCATCCACACAATATGTCCCTATAAAATCACAAATATTAACGATAACAACATCTCCAAACCCTATAAAAGAAGGACGTAGCTTTGCAGGAACCTTCCAAAGTACAGCAGACACTTCCGAAACATACCCTTTACTTCGACGTTTTAATTCAATGCGTCTCCGGGAGTACTTTGAAAACACAAACATGGAATACTGTTAAGATTCTGACATCTCTGTGGGAACAGAAAAGCACCTTATTTCATAAACATTCACAATCTCAAGAGCCAAAACAAAAACACACTTAGTCACGAATAAATATGTGGGGCTTTCTGTTTCTGAGGTCATTTGATGCTGGAACAGGTCATTTTATACACTCTTTTTGTTGGTTCCAGACTAATGTACCCATTTTCGATGAATGTTGGAGAAGGCATTTTATAAACCTCATGGAACCAGCACAGGTGATCATTTCATAAACAGGCATACTGGGGAATGTCATTTCATAAATCCGTTTTAGTTTATGACATGAATGTCCGCAGCCCAGTTTCCAAGTAAGGGGTATTCCGAAATTTATTAACTCATAATCTTTAGATGCTGGGGATTTTGACCTTGCTGAAAACATGTTAACGCTTTACTAAACCAAAAACACACTCTTCTGTTAACTTTTTTGGCCAAGTCCTACCCCCAATCTGCTAGTTCAAGAGCTTTACCGTTCCTAGGGCATCCACAGAATATGTCACTAAAAAAATAATAATTAACGGTAACAACATCTCCAAACATTCACATTCTAAAATAACGAATTAGCTTTGCAGGAAACTTGCAATGTACCGAAACTTCCCGAAACACATTTTCTCAGAGTCTTTAGATGCCGGGGATTTTGACCCACTTAACTTGCTACCAGTTCAGGAGCTTTATACTCCACAACATGTCCCTTTAACATCACACATATTAACGACAACGTCTCCAAACATATTAACATAGTAACGATCAAGCATGTACAAAATAGGGAACTATAGCTTTGCAGAAACCTCCAATGTACCGACTCTCATCGAGCATGACCGTGTCGTTCGCGTCCGCATCACAAGAGTCGTGCGTTTGTGTCTCTGTGTCGACGAACAGTCACTATCAAATCAAGGGCACAACCTTACCTTTTTTTAAACATGATGCAATTAGCGATTCAATTAAAGGATTCCTTTTGAATTTTAGCGATTGAATTAACGGCTCACGTTTTTGGGTTTTTTGAACTTGATGCGGTGATGCATCGTAAAGCAGTGCTCCCCGCCCAACGTTGACGTCAAAGTCCACGTCGTTCGCGTCCGCGTCGTCGCTATTAGGTTGGAGGTCCCCGTCAACGTTGTGCCCCTCTATAAGGTGTCTACACTGATGCGGATTGGTTGGTCTGCTGATTTTTATAGAGTGGCAGTTTTGCAGTGGGGCACAACGTTGACGGGGATTTCCCACGGGGATTCAAAACAAGCACAGCACATTTGAAAGGGAGGGCGCTGATGTGTGAAGCTCTCTATCATGGTTTTTCTTCACGCTGCAGTCGCATTTGAGCGTTGCAATGGCGCTCCACGTTTCCTGTTTGAGAATGACAGCCAGCGCGTCCCTCCTTTTCATTTAAGAGGTCCTGTGCTGCCTGAGATTGATTGTGGCCTATTTCCGCAGTTTTGCACATTTGCCACGCAGGATTGCGTCGATCAAGAGTTCGACTGCCCGTCTCAAGCAGAGTATAGCAGAGGGTCACAAAGCCTGGAGCCTCCCAAACCTCAATGGTAAAGGAAAGAACGACTGCAGCCTGTGAAATGCAGAGCCGCAGAGCCTTGTTTTTGCTGCTGGCGTCGTTAGTGACCCGAGGGTTTTAGAGCATTTTTCGACAAATGACGCCTGCGGCTTCGAGCATTTAAGCTTGTTGCATTCGACCCATTCCGTGCGCAAACCTTTGGTATACACCTTTGTCCACCTAGACATCAACATTCCGTGAAATTCTGATAAACGCCAACAGACCGTGTTTAACGCAAACCGCTCAAGACCGCACGGAATTTTGGTCGCCCATATTCAATCCGGGAGTCTACATATTCAACGTTGCATTCGACCCGGGAATCGGTCTGGGAGGGGGGTGGGGGGGATGGGAAACTGCGCGGTTCGGATCATTTGGTCCGAACCGCGCAGTTTTGTGGCTTGCAGGATGCGCTCTGCTCTTCGCGCAAGGGGGAAGGGACCAAGGGGCACAAGGTTTGGTGCCGAAACAAGTGGTGTTTCAGCAGTGCAAACGACCTCAAGTCATGCTGCATGGCTTAGTGTCATGTCATGACGTGTATGGCGGCGCCATATTCACAAAGGTGATTTACGGTACATAAAAAAGGCCTGGAGTGGTAAGAACAGACGAAATCAACGCATGAAAGTCACGCAAGGGAATGAACACCCGCATTTCGCGGGGAAATCTACCCGACGACACTAACTGGCGTGCACTTAAAACTCCAGGGTCCTTAACAACGCTGCCACCTTGTTTAGTTGGCCCACAGCCAAAAGCCTCCAGTTTGTTAGGAAACCTCAACTTGTAGTTAGTGCAAAGGGAAACACATGGACATGACATATAGACATAGAGCTCAAAATACCCTATCAGGAATCAGGAACTGGTTTGTAGTAAATGCCAACTGTGGCTTTAGCCTTTGTTGCTCTTGATAAGTTTCATTCAGAAGAAATCCGCTCTTTTGGTTGGATCGGAGAAACACAACAAAATGAGAGGGCGTTGGCGTTGGAGAGTACTGGCCTTTGATGCTCCTGGAGCATCCTTTTCCGAAGAACTGCGTCCATGGAACTGTGTCCGTTCCTCTTGGACCAAACTCCTGCACCATGAAGATCAGATTCCAACGACGGGCGCTGATACTTTTGGCGCCCCCCCAAACCCGTCCGATTCCAGTCACCTGGAGTGATCTGGAGGCTAGTGGCATCTAGTAGCGATGCCAGGAGCCCCTAGTAGCATCCTTGCTCCTAGTAGTAAGGCCGAGGCCAGGAGCCCCTAGTAGCTTCTGAGAGGCTTTTCAGCTTGGCCTTTCTCACTGAGGCGACCCGGTGCTCGGTCTCGCGCCCGCAACGACGAGGGCGGCCGCGGCTACGACGCGCGTGGCGGCAGCGGCGGCGGCTACGGTGGCGCGGGCGCCGCGTATGGCGGGAGCGACGCCTACGACGGCGGCTACGGCTACGGGGCGGCCTCGCGGTCGCGGAGCGATCGGCGGAACGAGCCGCGGATGGATGTGACTTGGATCGCGAGGAGTGATCGGCCTCCAGCGGTGAAGGTGACCTGAAAAAAGCACGCCTTGGCCTTGACATGTAAGGTCTGAGAGTGCAGTAAAAGGATGTCAAGGGGTCAAAAAGGTATAGGAAGCTGAAAAGGACACCGACCGAAAATATACCGGCAGCACTTCTCCCAGGTTCCTTGTCTCAACAAGCACCTGGCTTCGAGTGAATGACCTCCTACGATAGATGGTAACCCCGCTCAGGTTCCCTCGGAAGTAGTTGTACTCCCCCAAACCATGGCTCAAGATTTAGATTTGAGCCTGATGTGTCAGGATCGCAAATGGCTAACTGGCTTTTGCTGTGAGAGCCTTGAAGATGGGACAAAATGTGGCATCCAACCAGTGGTGCGGCCTGAGGAAGGGTGAAAGCAAGAAGAGTATTCAAACGGCTTCAGAATGACTTCGAGGACCCACAACATCTTGAGCTTGAATTGGAAATAGTTGTACTCCCCCAAACCAGACGTTTTCTTCGAAGGATAAACCCCAAGATTGGACCAGCACTGTGTCGTTTTCTTGCTCTTCTCGACCTCACTGGAGGCGTCCTTTCTTTTTCGTCCGTCATGGCTCCTTTCGCCCGATTTTTCCAAGGTCCGGGTAGAGAGGCCGGATCGAGGTGGATACCAGGACCCGGAGTCCGGTGTGACCCCAACGCGCGGCCTGGGGGGGGGAGCGAGTTGAGCCTCGCTCTTTCACCTGGTTTGGTAAACACATGATGGATTTTTGTTTCATTTTCTCGAACTTGGTGAATCCCCTTTTGGGAAATATCGTGTTTCTTGGTTCCTTCAGCAAATCCAAGTTAAGGCGCCCGTATGGGCTCTTACCTTTCCTTGTTTTTCATTCGTGTGGGCTTCATTCGGTCAAGCTCCAGAACGGATGCGCTGAAGTTGGCCCTCTGGGAGGTATCAAGAATGTGGACGTGTAATGAAATGTACTGATGAGTTGAGGCTTCTCTTGGTGGCTCAACCCAAGAACATGCCATTGGATCATCATTCATCCCATGTTCGGCCAATAATCGGTTCGGCCCGAACTCGGGCCGGGCCATCCTGGGCGTTCTCCCTTGGCCACGGTCAGATGAGTCAGGTGTCGGTGTTGGAAACCCTCAAGCTTCCAAGACCTACCTAGGACTACAGGTTCCATTTTTTGCCTAGGACTACAGGTCATTGAACTTGATTTCCTCGTTCTATGGAACAGCAGACTTGTTGGAGGGGTGCTGTGTTTTTGCGGATTCTTGTTTCTAAAGGAGGACTTCATCCTTAACAGGGGGCCTCACTTGGAGTTTCGTGAATAGTGGACAAGAACACATTGTTGATCCGGAAGGCGGTCTCGATTGGCCGCCTGGCTGTGGGCTGACTCAAGGGCTTCCTTTCTTGTGAAATGATTTTAATTATGTCCATTCCAAGTTGGTGTTGCTACAGTACAGCCCGCAAAGCCCTTGGATCAGCCGCTTTCCGTGTTAATTTTCATGTCCCAAGCGAACGTTGTTGCTTTCTCACAGCGACGCGTCATGGTGACGGGTCACATACAACAGCAGCCTTTTTCCAAACCGGGGGTCCCTGGTTTTGTGTTGTCACTTGTCTTTTAATGCCGTCGTGGTTGACACCATGAAGCTTTGGACACTCAACTTCACATGGCTTTTTTCCACCCTGAAACCTGCGCGAGCCGGGGCGGCTCTCGCCATTTAGAGCGATTTAACGGTTGAGTGAATCCACAACGGAGACCGTTTTTGATTTTCGATTCAAGAGGACCAAAACTGCTGGAGGACGATCTGAAATTCTCTCCAATTCCGAAGGTCAGAGATTCCAGAGGACCAGGTTTCAGGACTAGATTCTTAGATGGACCTACCCATCCTTCAAACGTCCGGGGCACCCCACGTCCGCGCCACATACGTGAGGATAGGCGTCCTCAGCCGCCGCCGCCCAGCCGCCCCCCGCCCCGTTATGGTGGCGGCTATGGTGACGGGCCCCGCGGGGGAGGGAGAGCACGGTGATCGCACTTAGATGGACTAGAAAGAAGCAACCAAGAAAGAAAATCATACATCTAATTACATTCTAATTGCATTTTAACATCATTTCACACCCACATCCATCCACACTTCCCCTCAAAAACTGGTGATTCCTGAAAGACGGTGTTTTGTGGAAGTCCATGCCTCTTTGGCAGGGTGTGAGAACACATAGCAACGGGAACAAGATATACTTCTTCTGAGGTCATCTCGAATAAATTGAACCTTCTGCCGGCAACAAGGTTCCAACTCCGACATGTTCCAAAGAACATCCTAAGCGCTTCCCAGTTCTTGTTTTCTAGATGGGCTATGTCGACACTTCAGACCTTTCAAGAGCTTCCAATCTAATTTTCAGGGCTTCTGCCTTCAGCGCTCAAATCACCGACCAACGGCATCACCGTCAGCGGTCCGGGTCCCGTGCGCTAAGCCGATCGTCCGCTCCGAGCGGAGCAGTCGTGTGCCAAAAAGGGTGCAATGTGCTGAGCGCTGGTGCGAACGCGGTCGATCAATTTTTTGCAGAATCGATTGATTTTTGATAAACAGAACAATCATGATATATATTCTAGTTAATTGTGATGCACAATCCTAATCCCCCACCACATTGCGGATAAGAGATTTTTGCGGATTGGTGGGTTTGAGGGGATTGCGGATTGGATTATTTCTTGGTCTAACGTCTCCCACCCTTTTAACTGATGAATATGGGGGAATGGGGGGGGACGTCAAATTATGTAATTGAGATTTTCTGGGGATATAAATATATTTGTTATTCGCCTCTTACGGGATCTTAAGGGAGGGGAAATAATAAATATATATATTATTAACACCTCCTGTTTTCTTTTTAATATTTCGAATATATAATATTTTTTATATATGAAATATCGTATTACATATTATTATATTGATATTATATATATATATATTAGTATTTTTTTGAATTTATATATTTTTATATATATTTTAGGAGGGTGGTTATTTTTATAATATATATTTTTAAAATAATATATTCGATATGAAATTTATATAGGATTAAATATTTATATATAAAATGTAGTTTTTTGAAATAATTAATTGATTTTATTGTATTGATTTATTATTTTTTTATCGAATATAAATAAATAATAAATTAACTAAACATAATTATATTTTTATTTGCATTTGTATGAATTTCGTACAAATTCGTCGTAAGAATAACAACTATATTAATAATAGATAATTAAATATGTATGTGGTAATAGGATTTAGCTTATTTTTGAATTGATAATTTTCGAAATATTTTTTATTGTTAATTTTTAATATTTAGGAATTAAATATATGTATTTATTTAATTTTTAATTTATATTTTTAATATATAATTAATATGTAATTATTAATAATTTATTGTTAATTTTTTTTTTTAATTGAAATTATATAGAATTAAATATATACTTAATTTTTTTGGATAATTATAGGATTTTTGGTTATTTTTATGATTTTTTTAATTGGAATTCTATGTAGGTATATATTAGGATTTCTAATTAATTTTGTAATATTTATTATTGAATTTTTTTAAAATATATTTTATTGTTATATTAATTTATTTCTATATATGTTAATATTTATAGATTAATAAAAAAAGAAATGGTTTGAATTAAATAAATAGGATATATATTTATTGTATTTTAAAAAAATATAAATATTTTAATCGAAATGAATATATAGAATAATTTATATAAATCTGAAGGAAATCTTAATAGGATTAATCGTTCGCCATCATTTTTAAATCCATGGACGTTCGAATATCTTCGATAGGAGAATTAATTAACTTAATATTGATATAGAACCTGGATTTTATTTATTGATTAATATTGAAGCAATAAGGGCAATTTGTGGTCTCATTTTTATGGATCACAATATTATGCGAAGAAATACAATATAAGTCGAGGTCTAGTGTTTGGAGATGTGGATGCTTAGGGCATTAATGAAGCGAAAGACCTGATTAACAACAAAATAGAATTTGGAAATTCCCATAAATAAGTACAGATTAGGGTCGATTATATATATCATTGAATGAAATTTTCTAGCATAAATGCAGGCATCGGCCTAATCGATCATTGTATACGTTTTCCATGCATCACAAGGTTCCATCAATTGTAATTGGGTGCCCGCGGCTTCAAGCTGAAACATGGTGGACGGTATCGGATTCCCCTCAGGCGGTGGCGGGGCGGCATTGTCTGGCATAGTGTCAAAATATTTCCCCTTAATCCAATCGTATAATAAGACTAGATAGGCAATTCGTCTAAAGTGTGTGAGCAATGTCACATCCATAATAAATATTCTGTAATAATGATTGCATGCAAATTGTCCCGACAATATATCCCGATCCGTTTGGAATGGAAAATGTGTTGGCCTCTCAGCCTGATGTTCCTGGTATAGATGAATTGTAAGGGCTTTGCATCCGTTTTGCCTAATAAATCGGACAATTGTAAATCTTGGCGGAAGGAAGATAATCCGTGGTTGGCAAGGCCATTATTTGCTTCATGGTCAATAATATATTCTTAATATTGCGCATGATGGATATCGATACCATATGAGGTCCAAATATTTACGTAACATTTCTTACAAATATGGGGAGAAATCGGGATAGAAAAGATCGAACGAACGTCCTGTGCAGCATGGTCGACTTCCATGGGTTGTAACTCAATGGAGGTATCATAGTCCTAAGATTATAACACGACAAGAATGGAGATAAATTACGATTGCATAGTCGAATATCTAAGGTTATTATTTCTTATCATAATAAATATATATTAAAAATAAATAGAATCATAATATAACATTAATCTAAAAACATATTCAATATTCGTAGGTACGAACATCGCGATAATAATTTTAACAAAAGATATAAGTGCCGCGACCACTGCCCAGATTACCCAATCCATAAGCCTATTTGCTAATATATTATATATAATCTATCAAATGAAAATCAAATCATTGTAATGCTTACGAATAACTCTAAAATATATTTGATATTTCGTATCATAATTTTAATATATAGGTATATAAAATATATTAACTTACAACAAAATATCTAAAAATCGGTAAATATTTTTATCAATCGAATTCGTAATCAATATCCAATAAAATATCAATCAAATCTCGTAATTAAAATTCGACGAAAAATCATATAAAATTGGAAATTAGAATCCACTAACATATTTTAATTACCATCCGGAACCAACAATTAAAACCCGACAAAGACACTAACCAAAAAACATTCGTAATAAAAATCCGACGAATAATATTATCATTCGAAACTAATCCAATTAAAAACACTATCCTCAAATAACCCTGATAGAAATCCATGACGACGTAAAAAATAGAAAATATGACCCAAACAACGACGACGCAAGGCTAAAATAATTTCTTACAATACCAAATTCAATACAAATCAAATTACCTTTCCTAATTTCCGATTAAAACCCAAAGAAAAATACTTATTTTAATCCAAAACTAACGATTAAGACCAAAAATCAGATTCCATTATACAAAAAGCAACTAACATACAATCTAATATTTAAATTCACCCAAATACAAAAACCCATATAAGCGTTACTTGAATATTTTTCCTCAGATAGCGAAGCTATGGGGTTCTTACTTCAAATAATAATGAGTTGCCCGTGTGCGCTTTCGAGACAAATTGTTAGTGCTAGGTGCGGGTGCTGGTGCTAAGAGCTGGCTAGGCACGTGGTAGAAACAGATTCTTGATGCCGGATGCCCGTGCTGGGTGCCAGTGCTGTAAGCTGGCTGTGCACGTGATGGAGATAGGTTGCTAGCATTTATGTGTACGTGGTGGAGACAAATTAGTGCTGCTAGTGCCGGGTGCTGGTGCTGGGTGTCGGTGTTGTAAGCTAACTGCGCGTGGTGGAGACAGAGTAATGGTGGTGTTGCCGGGTGTCGATACTCGTGTTGTGAGCTGCCTATGTACGTAGTGGAATCAAGTTGCTGGTGCCTGTATTAAGTGTCGGATTAATGCTATAGCTTGCATATATGTGATAATCGTTTTTACCTCAATAATGAAGCTATAGAATCCTTATTTCAAATATTAGTAAATTATCTGCGCCCGCTTTCGAAACAATTTGCCGGATTAATAGAATAAGAAGCCGGTACTAATACGAATTGTAATGTTAGCGCTAAATGTTGTAAACTCACTACGCACGTATAGGAAATACAATACCGGCGCTACTAACAAAGCGCAAAATAAAAACAATAAGCACCGATACCAATACGATAAACTAATAATACACATAACAAAAATTAAGCGCCGATATTAAAAACTAGCTATATACGCGATCGAAATAAAATATCCATGCTTATATTTGGTATTATACTAATGCTAATCGATAAATACCGCAAATTAATACACCGACACTTAAAATATATCTAACAATCAAAAGAACATAATTATCATTTTTGTTAGGAAAAATATATCGCCACTTACGACAAAAAAACGACGAAACGCCGCTTTTAACAATAAAATAAACTAACAAATATAAACCACACGAATACATATACGTAATATCATATGGTATTATCGCTTTTTACTTATTAATTTTATATCAAGAATTATATTATTTACATATATATTTTTATAAAAATCAAATTCTCAATTTCAACCGATCATTCTATATCAATTTATTATACACACAATAATCATACTAAATATTACTTTCCCTTTCAACGATACTTTTACATACATAAAATTACACGCAACCTCATTACACAACAAATCTTTTTTTTATGCATATTACAAAATCAATATTAATTAACCTCAGACCAATGCAATTTACGAACTTAATTATTTACGCAAATATTTTTCCACCCATAAATTTATTCGTACAAAATCCTACATTTTTTTTATCCCCCATCCCCCAAATAAATATAACAAAAAATTCTTATTAATTTTACGCACTTTCTAAAATAATATCGATACTAATATCGTATTCCTAAGCATTAATCCTAAAAAAATCCATGCATTTAAATCGTATAACGACGCTAATCGGAAATTAATATCGATTAATTATATAAAATATCATAAATTAATTATATAACCTATATATATATATTTTATTCCAATTAATCATATATCAATAAATCGTAAAATTCTACCTAATTATTTTAATTTATATTAATATAACTTAAAATATATTATTAAAAATAATATATATATATATATTAAATCAAATATATTTTACTTACATTACATTAAAATAATATACAAATTAATTATATTGAATTTCAATTTACATTTTTGAATATATATATATTTTTACAATTCAACTTAAAATTGGAAATTCGTATCGATATAATTGTGAATATTTGGAATTTCGAAGGTGGATCAATGGATTTCCCTCTTAACATTGTTGTTTTCAAGAATTCGTTCATCAACCTTGGAAAATGAGAACGCCTGGAACGGCAAAAACACTTGAAAGAGGAGGAGGTGAACGAAAGGTAACAGGCAATCACAAGTAACCTTGGTAGAAGTCCATCACGGCGTCAAAGGTGGATGGATGTGACCCAAACGGCGCATGGGGTGGAATGATCAAGGGGGGCGAGGCCCCCCCCTGTCGAACAGAATCCTTTCTTACTGGACCGAACTTAATGCATAATCCCAACTCCAGATTGTCATAAATTTTTGCTAAAGCAAGGAGAACTCAGGTAGCTGAAGCTACCTTTCGTGACAAGGCAATTGACAGAATCGCAACGTAGACTCAATTCAATTTCAGGAACAAATGTGGTGGGTGGGGGACATGCGCTTGCTTCCTACGTGTAGCCATGTTGCAAGGCTTTGTTCTGCTTAGTTGCCTTCCCAATGAGACTACGGGCCGTTCGACAGCCGATGTTTGGGTTGGAAGCGGAAAGCCACCAGAAAATCAGCTCAAACTGATACGCAAATCAGGAACCTGGTCTTTTTGGGGAGAATCTATATAAATGTTGAATTCCCCCAATGAGGCTGGATGCAGCCAAAGAAAACAATATGGTGTCCCATATGTAGCAGGAGCATGATGTAATGTGATAGCCTTCACTTGATCAGTCACCTGTTTCTAGGTTGTTGTGGCAGGTTATGACCTGGCCAGCGATCTCTAATTTGTAGCCCAGCAGCGCTCTGCGCCTCCTTTGCCTCTCTCCCGCCTGAATGGTCGACAAAATGGTAAATTACTTTTGCATCTTGTGACAGCGCAATCAGCAAAATGCCAGGTAAATGACATAGGAGCCCATTGGCCTGGGAGAGAATATCACCAAGATGCACCAAGTATGCAAATCATCTTGTCATTCTTTCATGATGAAAGCTTGCAGGCCCAAGGCGCACTCACTGATCTATGAATCTATGCACTGCCCCCATGCGATTTCTGAAAAGCAAGGCCGGACTGAGACTCTTAAAAGGGCGCATGCGAAGGGCATGGGCATCCTCACTCTTGGCACACTTTCCTTTACATATGGTCTTGCAGGGATGTTTCATGCGTTCCTCTCTTCGATTTGGGACACCCTTCCACAACCAATCCGGATGTCCGCGTTGCTTGGGAGACCTTTCCCGGTTGAAGCAATGAAGAGTCACATCGAATCCCCACACAACCCACAACTCCATGGCCTTGGGAAACTCACGGACGCTCCATGTCATGTCTTCACCTTCCGACTTCTCTGGGTGCCCAAGCAACGCTCAAGCCCGGTGGGCCCAAAAGACCTGGAGAGCGTTGCAGAGCGCTTAGCGCCTTGCTGGGGAAACAAGAGGCAGGCACATCTAGATCATCTAGGGAACATGCTGTTAAAGTGGGAGGACTGCGGACAATAGCGAACATTATGCTTATTAAAAAGCCACAAATCGAGCGACACATGGATGAAAGATGATGAAAGGACAAATTTCCTGAAGCGGTTGGACAAGAACATCTAGGGGGCCTACTGTTGAAGGAAGATATCAAACATTGAAATAGACGACGCCCAAATACACTGACTGCTAGTCAAAGCAAATGGCTTTCGGGATGAAGTACTGTAAAGGTGGTGCAAACCTTTGTTCCATCAACCACTGGGACCAGCGAATCTTCTAGCGGACCTGTCTTGGAGGGATCGCTCGAAAGCTTGGAGGGAATAGACTCCCAGTAGTACAGCACACACACACACACGTCATGCACTCACTCATTTGTAGCTAAGAAGCTGAGCGTCCTAACAAGCACATCATGGTAGACTACACGTTCAAAGTCTTCCATATTCAGTCTGCTTGTGGATGATCATCTCAGGATGCATCTTCCACCCTTCTAAACTGTCACCGGATCACTGCGCACAGTCTTTTACTTAAAACGTACTTACCTATTCTCAATCGTAGAATGGCTGTTAAGAAACTTGGAACGTGTAGATGTTGGATCCAACTAATTCAGGTATTATCTACCAGCGAGATCCAACAAGCGGAATCCTTTGACCATCCTCTCTTGTCAAGTCGGATGTGACTCTTACAGAAAAAAACAAAGAAAAACAGGTCTGCCAAAACATCTGCGATCCCCGCTGGAGCACCGGCCCCGCCAATTCGAACGGTGCCTGCCAGTAGTGGCATGGAGTCTTCCTCCTCGTCACCCAAACGGCCGGAGCCTGATCTCGAGCCCACAACGAAAGGGAAGCATCAACGCCCGGATGCGGAGGTTCAAAATACATAAACATATACATTTCATATTTCATTGATGTTTGATGTTTAATTCAACATGATTCAATTCTGTCCAAGGGGCCCATATCATATCTAGAACAGGGTGCAACTAAAGTCAAATAGGAAAAATAAACGATCTGTCCAAATCCTGAATCATTGAGCTACATCCTCTGCCCAGCGCACGGTGCTCATGACTTTCGTGATTTTCACATTCCCCTTTCGGAGTGTGGTTTCAGCATTCAACTCGAGCAAAGTCTCATCCCCAAATGACATGTATCATGTACATCTGTAACACTAAGCGGCAGCTTTCAAAACTGACACCTAGGGTACAGCATCCCTGCCGCACATTGGGGCATAGGGTGAACTTGCTCATCATCAAACCTCAAGCAATCAATCTGAATAACCTTGTGGGATCAACATAATGATCACAATGGATACTCCCTGAGAACCAGAGTAAATCTTCAGGCCTTCAGTAGAATCCAACGGAGGTTCTTTTAGCAGAAAACGGCCTAATTGGTCAAGGTGTGAGCCTCCTTCCTCTCGATTCTCGTAGGACTCGGACTTGTCGCCACCTGGCATCTCACTTTGGCGGTGTTCTTTCGCGTTCGATGGGTGGCGGTGCATGCGAGGCATTCGTTGTGGTTGCCAACTGAATCATGTGGAGGACATACAGCTCCGCTTCTTGAGATGCGGCTCCGCTTGCATTCAAAAACGCCATGTCAACACGCGGACGCGACCAAATCCTTTTTGTTTCTTTTTCCCTCTTCTGGGGAGGTACATGCATGCATCTCGAACATCGCGTCACATGTATTTGTATAACATTGTATACCTTTAGGTGTGCCCAGCCCTCTAGTCATGATTCCAGCATGCTGCCTTCCCGCACCAAAACGACCACCACCCCGATGCCGATGCACCCGTTTTCGCCTGGTTTGTTGCCAATTCTCTGCTTGGGATGTGGAATCTGCGAGCGTGTCGGTGCTCCCACCGTCGCCGTCGAAACTGCACTGGGACTCGCAGCGGCACCGGCACTTCCTGCCGCGAGTCCACGCGTGCCAGTGGCGGTGGACACCATGGAGACCTCAGGTTCGAATGCCAGGGCCCGGTTTGTCCCAAATCTGCATCCTGTACCCGGAAACTGTTCGCCCGTTCCAAAGTCTGATCCGTTGTATATTGGACAACGCCAAGAAGAGGCTACTTCATGTTACTTCTCTGAAACGCTGCTTCTCGAAGTGCAGGGAATGATTGCAAAGCCATGAAGTGAGATTGACTTGATGGGCCTCAAGAGGAGTCGCTCTCTTGACCCGCTATACATCGATCGTTTACATCGCCCTTCGTGAATCTGCCGTCCCCAAATAGGTTCCACCTCCTACCAACATGACAGCCCCAGGGTCTTCTTTTTGGGATTTTTTGGGTATGCCAATCTTCTGGCTCGCCTTTGGCTCCACTGAGATGTGGGACAAACATGGACAAGGTCTTGCTAAGACGGGGGGACTTGTCATGACTTTTCAACGAAGTCGCTTCAGCATCCTCATCCTCCATCTCCCCAGGCAAGTGTCGAGATACCTGGAAGGACCGACAGGGGGACGCCGGTTCCGACGCCGGTGAGATGTGGGGCGTTGCTGTTCGCCGAGGGTCGTCCTTTTTGGGGGCCTCGACTGTAGGTGTTCGGCGAAAAGATGGCGAACACCAATTGGTGATCTAGATGTGGATTGGATTGGAGACGCAGGGAATTGAAGATCCAATCCAATCCCATACAGGAGATTGAGGGATGATGTTTGAATGGAATTAAGGGATGATTCTTGTGGATCTGCCAACGATCTTTTATCATAAGTGACGGATCTGGTGGACAGATGTGGACAGAACGGATGCGCATGGGTATCAGAATCAGCTTGGTGCGCTCTTTCCCTTCTTGCCTCAAGTGGAGACTTTGGGCTGTAACTTCAAGGAGCTACAAAAAAATGATCTTCTTGAATCAGGGGGCGGGGGCGGTGTAGTGGAGTCTAGCAGTTTCATGTGGCGTGCACCCACGCGAATCCTGGTGTTGCCCCCGCGCTGACTCATTGACAAGCACCCCTAACCCCAAACCCAAAAAGACATAGGACAAACAATTGTAGCATCCTGCAGCCCAAGCGCAGGCCGTGCTGCACCGGGCGGAAGGGTGTCCCCAGCGTTGGGCACCTGCAGGATCTTGAGAGGATGAGGAGACAGCTCAAGATCGTAAAACCACTCTAAAAAAGGAATAGGTGGATGCAGCTGTGTCATAGGGACTCTGCTTTGTGCTCACCAGTTGGGGTACCAATCACTCCAGTCTGTCAGGGTCATCGCAGTGATCTCCTCTTGATTCCCTGGGTGTCGAAACAACAAGCTGTCGAACGACCCTGCGAGATGAACATGGATGGGATGCCCATGAACACGATTGCCCGAAGGCCAGGATAATACTCGTTATTATTTTGCTTCCATCGAACGCAATTTGGAGTGCAGGGTGAACACAGAGGTCACGTTGAACCACCACCATTTCTGAGCGAACTCGCCACGTCAGCTACATTCTGGCAGGGGAACTTCATCTTCCAAGATTGGTCTGCCGCGGCCTGGCCTGAAATACCCGTGGCTCATCTTGAACGATGAAGATCGGGCACCCGTCAAGAGTCCAAACCAAGAGTCGCCCGATCTTCATCGCTTGGGGGTGCCGGGGACTGCACGTTCCGAACGGGACTCCGGTCATTCGCCGAGCCTCTGACCTCGGCGCAGCGTGGCGGGAAACGAACTTCAAACAGTTCGTCGTTCTGAAAGCAGCTGTTCGATCACAACTTCAAGGTGGACACCCATCCATGATATTTGAAATATTTATAAACATTTTTGGTTTCTTTTCGCAAACCTCTCACAAACACAGCGCTGCATGGCCATACTGGCATGGTCCATGGTTGCATACTCAGCCACTGTCCCAAAGCGCTTGGGCTAGCAAAGCGCAAGCTGCCAAGCTCGACTTCTTTCTGCGCGCGTTGCAGCCCTGTTGCACGCAGGGCAGGTGCCACTCTGAATGACATTATACAGGCGGCTTTGGATAACTCACAGTAAACTCACCTGGAACCCTCAGGGGAACTCCTTCATAAAATTGTCTTGAAACTTGTGCAATTTCGTGGCCAGCACTTTTCACTGGTTGAAGTCGCTTAACCTCCTACATGCTCCTTAACCAAAGGAGCATCGCAAAGGTCAGGTTTCAATGTAGATTTGCGAGAGGTACGCAGGACGCATTGAATGCTAAACTTTGGCACTGTTTGGGACACCTTCGGCACAACAATAACACGTACACCAATCTATGGGACTACCCATGGGCTACCAAAGTTCAGAGGCTGAAAACGAATCGCATGCTTGGCCTCATCTGCAGGCATGACGCGGACAGAAGGTGATGACCCGAACTTGCGCAAAAAGACATGGGCAACGCAAATGGATACACACTCCATGAACGTTCCACAAGTTTTCTGATGTCTTTTCCATCCTTTTCCCATACCTCTTTGAGAATGCAATCATGAAACTTGGATGACGGCAAAACATGGCAAAATTGCCCATGGGGAATACACAATATAATAGAATAGAACGTAAATACAAATACATGTCACACTCTGACTCACTACCATGGAAGTGGAAAACCACCTGTTAGTCTTCCAAGGGCTTATTTTCCACTTCCATGATGTAAGTTTTCGTCCGAGTGTAGGTGTCCCAAGCTCGAGCCATTGAGGAAGATGGAAGCTAGGCAGCCCGAGGCAACGATCGGTCTCACTAGCCTTCGCGGCGAGGTTTGAGCAAACCAAATCGCTGCAGTGATTCATGGTGCATCAGTTTGGGAGGCCACGACGGGTGCCCCCAGCACCAGAATGGGCCAAACATGTTCACCGAGTTCACTCATGCCAAACATCTACTATAACCATCCACCGGCGGGTTCAACGTGGCACGAGATGCTCGAGGACCGAGTACCCCCACGACGTGACGTCGGTGCCCTCCGCGGCAAAGTCGGAAGGGTTCACCTTGGCACGGAGAGATCGGTGACGATGCGATGCCCGGCCGGCGAGGCCTTGAACGTTCGTGTGGTAGCTGCGTTGTCTCTTTTCCAAGAGGATTGTGTTTTTAGAGCAACACGTTAAGATAGGGGCCTGGATTAAAATAGGCTCGCTTGGTGTTTTGTTTGGACTCTTTGTTGGCAGTTCAGAGGCAATCAAGCCTGCCACACTTGAAAGAAACATCAATTAATAGGTGGTCGACTGACCACGATTGCCTTCTCGGTCTCATCTTGAGTCGAGCCCCAAAGTCATTGCACTTCATCACACGAATATACGGATTTCTCACCGGACTAGGACACGCCTATCCAATGTGGCATAGAAAAACGCGGATCGACTGCATCACCTCTTTTTGCAGGACATCAGGATTGCCTTCCCCCCAGCCTGGAAGAGACTTTGAACCCTCCACAAATCTCCACACCTCCTCTCCCAAATGGTCACCTAGCACCTCATCATAGCCTGGCGCATGAGATGTTCACACTGACGGGAATGTCTTCACTCCCCGAAAAAGAACCTCGCAAGCGATGAAAGCAGCACTTCCTCAATCCCAGGCACCAGTTGCCCGGTGGTGGCCCAAAGCCGTGCTTCGGACATCTTCAAACCCACGCCAGACCTGACAGGAACGTCGACCCGACCAGGAATGGTCCAGACCGAGGAGACATCCCACCGGGTTCCGGCGTCCTCGACCGGTCTCGCCTTTTCAGCAAACGCGTGTCAGGGGCGTTCTTCCACACAATCACCCCTGGCAAACGGTTCAGCTCCTGAGGCCAGTTGGTCTGGGTGCTCCGAGCAGTTTTTTTGAGGCAACCAATTGAAGTCTGAAGAGTTTGAGAGGCTGAGTATGAGTCTATATGAGGCCCGTCCAGTGCCAGCCTGTCCGAACCACAGGGCTTGAGTAGGTTACTGTCACACTTTAATCATCTGAATCTTAAGTGGGGTTGGAATTCTGAACTCACAAAGGATGGATAACATTGGATCACCTCAATCCTACAATGTCCTACGACTTTCTCCTGAGCAAAATCCCTTCCCAGAACCGAGTTCTCACTGGCTATAGGAGATGCCACCAAACCCAGTGCAGCGAAAAAAACACACCGCACGAAGCACGCGCTCGCGCATGCTCGCGCTGACCCAGCGTGTCCTTGCCCGGCTCATTGCGGAGGAACCACCAACAGCCACTGGGATTGCCCTGGAGCGGCGATCAGCGCTGAGAAGCACATATTCCCAGCTGAGCAGCCTATGTAGAGCAGCCTATGCGCCCTACAACTGAGTGGCCCATGCAAGAATCAGTTGCTTAGCTCGGGTTTGCGAACCAGTACTTGCGACCAACTAAGTGGGCCCACTGAGTCACTGAGTGATGAAGTCCAGTAAATACACCCTATATACTTGCGCCCGTCCAGTTCTACAATTTCTATAGCTGATTGAGGCTTTGATTGATTTTCACTGAAACAACCCTTGGTCCTCCAGCTGCTCCAAACAAAGCCTTAACGCTGGAGGCTGGAGGCTGGAGAGTTGACACCCCCAAAAGTCTTCCTCCACAAGCTGCTTCTGATGGTTTGAATGGATCGATGCGTCTTCCGCCAGGGCCTGTTCCGTGGTGCCACGGCCTGAGGCCTTGCAATTGATCTCCTTGCACGATGGCCGTTACGACGTCTGTCCAAACGGGCATTCCTACGGCCTAGTGTCAGTCCGAGCAGGTCTCTTTTTTGGAGATGCACCAAACAGCTCACCAAGAAACGGGCAAAACCATAGATCATCATAGATCATCGTTCACACATGGGGGCACGTTATTCCTTTTGCATCCTTTTGTCTTCTCATCCTCAGATTGATGCAGCCAGCTGCAGCTCATACAATCACCCACTAGTGTCTTTAAACAAGTTTCGACCGTGCTGTAAAGATGCTACACATGCGGTTAAGATGTTTCTCCCAATGACATTGCGATCACATGTGCTTTTAATGCGGTCTTTGAGCGATTCCATTGTTTCTCACACACATGTTCATCTCCTCACGGCTTCTATTTCTCTCATGAGCAAATCCATGCGGCACAAACAGCTCAACCAAGACCTGGGGTCAAGACCTGGTGTCTTGAACAAACACCTGATGTCTTCAACTGCTAAAGCAGCAAGCTGACTCTCAGTGAAGTGCAGCCATGAAGTTGCGTCATCTCATCTGGTCTTTTGTTCTGGCAAACTCCTGTCTCCTCCGTTCCTATCTCCACTGTTCTAAGCACATCACTTGCACAGACTCAAAGCTCCAACTTCGACGAACAAAACTAGCCAAACTACTTACTCAAGTGTTTGGCACATCAACTGTTTGGCAATCAAACCGCACCTGTGGGACGTGATACCCTCACCTAGCATTGACACCAACAACACGGTCATGTCATATGGCAGTTCCCAATCAAACACGATGCATTTTACAGCAAGACATGTGCTCACGAGGGCACCATGGCAGGCGCGGCATTTTATGCAGTTGCCACCCCCAACGAAACCGACGTGTGTTTCCTTCAGCCGGCACAGTAAAGAGAATGCGCTCAAAATCGATATGCCATGCTGTTTCACATCTTAAAGTTCGCGTCATTACATGCCTGCGGAGCCTGAAACAAACAGTAGAACCTTTGGTTGCCTCATTGCATGTGGGACGCCAAGGCCAGTCATTCTTCACCAAACCCCGCCAGGTCCCGATGTCCCAAGCCCAGGCTCGATGGGGCCGTCGTAGAGCTTCAGGAACTGTGGGCTCACACACCAGGGGCGTCCGGCCTTCTCTCCGCAATCACCCTGAGCAGCGAGGAGTGTAAGCAGCGAGGTTAAGGATGGTGAGGGGAGGTCTTCGTATGCAGCACATGTTTCAGGTGGAGGGAGGTTTTCATTGGAGGTTTGAGTATGGTGGGCTTCGTGGGTTGAGTCGGCTTTCGAAGGGAAGAGTCCGTCTAGGCGGTCTTTGAGAATATGGAAAGCCCATCATGTGTCATTCGGTTTCATTCCTCTCTCCTCACTGGCCACATCACTTGGAGGAATCGGGATTTCAGAGTCGGTCACGGCATCATCCACTCAACTCCTAGACGTCCAGTTCCATACATAATAAATCAACAAATGTAAGTAGAGTAAGAAAAACGTCTTGTCGTCAGTTCCACCGTCGACGGCAACAGGGAGTCCGGTACAGTGTTCTTATGTGTTCAATTCATCACTCTGCCGTGGCGCGCGCCTTGGGGCAGAATGTGGCGCCGGTGACTTGGCCAAAATCCTGGTCGGCTGAAGGACGGCGAAAGAGTTGCCCGGCCACATACGTCCGGGAAGTGGTGGAAGGTAATAGTGGATCCACTAGGATAGCACCAAAACAAGGGAGACTTCTTACAAGTTCGGTTGTGTTCTTTTGAAGGCGTTTTAATTCGACCTGCAACTCCTAAGAGCCCTCACTCAGCACCAAACCCTCGGCAATGCAGTGACCTGAGGACGTGGTGGCAGATCGGAAGGCGTCTCCGACAAAAGGGAAGAGGTTGACACCAAATTATGCAGTTTCTTTATGTTTCTTTCCGAGGATTTAGGGATGCGTTGGGATGTTTAGGGCGTAGGGTTGTCGGCTTTTTGAACCATCGGACTGAAGTTGGGGTTCGCAAAGCATTGTTGGGAGGGAAGACTTTCGTGACATTCGTGGATTTTTTGTTTTTGTCCATGGGTTTGGAGGGTATCTTGACCCATTGCCAGCTAACCTGGTGGGATTCGTGGCATGTTCCACCCAAAAAGGTGCGCATAGCACTATTTTCTCTCTCCCGGGCGGTATATTTAACTCCTGTGCGTTCTCAAACTTGGTCGCACCAAAAGAAATCCAGGCGTAAGTACAGCGCCCTTGGCGCAAGAGTTCAGAGTTTGGTCCATGTACGGCAGGGTGAGGCCTTTTTGTGTCGCCCACAAAACGGTCTCCTGTGCATCCTTGCGCAAACCACGAAGGTTTCTCAAACGAAGTGTGCACACCCGTGGAGCAAGAATTCTGGTTTTGCCATGTAGTTTGGTGCGGCGATCCTGCAATAAACATGGAAACCTGTAAGTTATAGTACTGTTGATCAGTTGTATCACTCACAGCTGCTTCGTCCCTCTGCCTGGCAGATTCGACTGCTCTAGCCAAGGTGCGCAAGCATCGGGGCCCTGGCAGAACTTGCCTGGAAAAAAACGCATAATCAACGACTGGGATGGGCCAATGCAAATCCACTCGAGCGTAAACCTATCAAGAATTTCTTTCTAGTGGACTCTTCTTTTGCAGTTCTTTTGCTCGTCCTTTCGAGGCTTGCGCTTTGGCTTTCGCACGCTGCATTCTGTGCAAAACCACTTTCGCAAGTGTACAGGGCTGTTGTACATGAATCATGGGATGTTTTACTTACATGACTTACATGCACTTCAGTCCAAGTATGAATGCTGGTATCGACAAGGACGCTTCCACACGCTTTCGCTGAACAGTTCGCAAAATCTATCTTTCGCGACCGTGTGGTTACCTTTTGAGAGGCATCTTACATGAACATCGCTTCAACTTGTTACGGTTCTGGTCTCCTTCTCCGTTTGGCACAATGATGCCCATGACTATGTACTGTAATTCTTCATTGTCGCCCGGAGCACTCGAAGGCATTCATTTCAGGAACTTTGAGCAACGCGCATGCACCCAAGAATAGAGTATGAATACTAGGATGAATCTTGCAAGCTCTATAGATCTAATGGGTGCTGCGGCAGGAAACGAGGAAAAAAGCATCCTCCACAACAAATGCTGAGGTCAATGACATTGCTTCTCCTCTTGTTCCAGCAGGAATTGCCCCTGACTGAAATAATGAGTGCCAGGTACTGAGTTTGCTGGAGTTGAATGACACGCCGCAAACCAAATTATATGAGGACTCTCTTGTGAATTGGTCTCTCACCAGAACTCATGTTTGGGCGACTGATTTGCACACATGCACAATTGCACAATACAGTACTCTGGTTTCATCCAAGCGCGCGAAGCTCTGCCAATCTGGACATGGATTTTCGACGCCAAGCCACTTGCAATGAATCCACCAGGGGTTCATTACACCCGTGCAATAGGCAAATCTTTTGATCATATGAGGTACTGTCAGCGCGTGTCGCCTGATCCAAACATACCTCGTTAACTTTCGGCTTGAAGAAGGAAGGTGAGTGCCGTTTTTAGGTGCTCCGCTGCTTGGATTGCTTCAGGTCCTGTCCAGAACTCCCACTTCAACATCGGCAACAAATGCATACATATACGAGATGATATGATATCATTTGTTCTTTGCTTCAGAATTCTCCATATCTAAAATTGTTTTGGCACAGCTCGTTATTTGGTACTGCGGTGGAACATTTCTTTGGGTCGTTGGACATGTCGTTCGCAACCAGCTTCCCCGCACCGCCGTCGAATGGCCGTGCTTTGACACGTTTGCACATCGCTTCTATCGACGCGATGCGCGGTCTCTCACGTTCTCAGGTGGCTGGAGGGCGAGACAAATGCAGGTTCCCGCTTGGGGATCTCTTGCCCATGGCCGAATCAGAGTGGTCTCCAATTCAATGGGTTCCAATACATCGAGGGAATGGAGTTTCTACACCTATTTTGCGGTCACTATACGGATGCACTAGTGGGGCATAACTTTCAGTGCAAACAGACCGCCGCGAGCAAGCGAACTCTCGATATCAAATGCCTGCTGAGAACACCCACCAGGATGAAGCAAGTGACCACTACTTTATTTATGTTTCCTCTGATCTATATATGTCTTGCTGTGGTACGCAACATGTGCAGTACCCATCACTTTATGCACTTGGATTCCAGCTTTTCCATTGTGCGTTGCAGCGCTACTCGCCAGGTATGTGCACCCTCAATGGGTTGTGCTTTGCATTGTGAACGGGCATTTTTTGCTAGATGGGGTTCTCAAATGATCTCAACAGGTTCAACCATATAATATAGAAAACGAGAACAACATTTGTCCCAGCCAGCAAACCATGCGATTGTTTTTAGGTGTTCCTGGATGTCCTTTTGCCCAAGTAAGAACTCCACAAACCCAGCATGTGCAGCCGAAGTTGTGGGGCAATGGACACGTTTCCCATCGTAGACTTGTGCAGATTGGTTCGTCGGGTTGGCACCCGGGTGGAAAAACAATTGGGTGGGCTGCTGAAACCAGAAAATAGGCAACAACCAAATGATTGGTTTCAATTGCACCCGACCACTTGGGTTGATGATGTTCGAATGACATGTCGGCTCCTTTTGGCATGAGGTATTCCATGGTGTCAGATTCGTGTCCTATCTCCTTCAGAAGCCGGGCGATAAAACGTTCATCCTGCAGTAGTCAGCGTCGAACACCCCCCATGGCGGCCTTGATATGCACCAGTGATGCGACCCAGCATATCGCAAACTTTCTGGCGCCTCCCGCAAAAAATGGCTGAAAGGCATCTCAATTTTGCAAAAAGTGTGTCCTTAGTGTAAAAATGTAGGTTAAAATGACACAGTTTTTGACACATTTTGGTAATTTTGTGTATGACTCTTTTGAACTACACACAGTGTCCTCTTCTTCGAGATTTATATTTGGTGCAAAAGGTTCTTAAAAACACAACAGCCTTAGTCAAGTTGACTAGCAAAATTATCAAAATAGATCAAAATTGAAAGCACCGCTCGGGACAAGAATGCTTTGGTACAAGTTGACCATTGAACCATCTTCCAGAATTTGGTCAGCTTGACCATGCATTTTTCCAATGGTGTCTGGCATTCATTTGGATTTTTTCTGAACCCAAAGATATTGGGATGAAAGATCTCCACATTTCGGGGGGTTCCAAAAGCCCACCTGGTAGCTCATCGTTCGACCGACCTCCGACCGAGCCGAACGCAGAAGGACGCCTGGGTGCCAGTGCACCGGACGGGAGTGGAGCGCCTGGGGCGTCAGGGACTTCCGCCTCCTGGGAGTTCACGACAAAAAACGGTTCGGAACAGGATGTTGAAAGGAGACACGTTCACGCACATGTTTATATTATACACGAAATATTGTATGTACTTGTATATATATAATAATAATAACAATAATAATAATAATATATATATATGTGTGTGTTTGTGAAACAGTCTATTTATATATCTATTTATTTATATCATATGCACATATATTACATATATGTATATATAACTTTATAACTTACTATATACATATATGATAGTAAATCGCGACTGTTCAACATAGAATGGGAACATCAACCGCAAGTTTCCTTTGCAAACGGGCCGGCGAGCCGGTGTAACACCCAAGGGCTCGTGCCATTGGCATCCCGAGCTCGTGCACTATGCGTATGGATGGGTTGAACAAATGAAGTGGATGGATGCCCCACTCTTTGTGTAAATCATCAACTACACGTCTCAAACCACTAATTTGATAATTTGTAAATGACATAGGCTTGCCCCATGAAGGTCATGAAGCGTCCAGTAGCCAATCATAATTGAAAACACACAGTCATGATTCCATGATTTTCACACCCCAAATGCAATTGGCAACGTGGAAAAAAAACCTCTTGAACCCTTGAACCGTTCTTCCGACTTCAGCACTAAGAATCGAACCGCCGAACTAACCAGCTGAAATCACAAGCCTACTTAAGAGGTGTCGCCAGGATCCCATAAGTAGACCCTTGAAACAGATAACAACATGGATTCTTTTAGGAACACGAATGGTGAAACACAATGACATCATAACCAAGTACAATTGGAGCACTAAGAACACTAAACCAGGTGGGTGACTCCTGCCCATCTCAGCTTTGCTATCAGAAACCGCATGGAGAAAGTCGGTAAATGTTTTAAGAGGTAGGATGCCGTGATGAACACATGACAAGCAATATATTTATAGTTATAAGTTATATATCTTGAGCTGGCGTATATCAAACATTATCAAACAACAAGAACCTGGAGACGCTTGTTCAGCGCCTGTTATCTCCCGTCCCTCCCGTCCTCATCAGGCTCTTTAAAGAAGTGCGGAGGCGTCAAGGAACCATAGGTTTTCTCAGCGCGGTGCATTTTCGGGTACATTGAATTCAAGAATCCTTCGATGGCACTGGCACCCCCAAGATCCTTTTTTGTTAAACATTGGGGGGTCCAATATTAAACCGACCTTGAGTGTCACTTAGTAATTTAGTAGTAGTAGTCATCGAACCTCTGAAAACCACTGTGGTCACCTGGGATGACCTGTCAAGACGTGCCGAATGATTGGGGTCACTCGGTGTTGGGATCGGATGAGCTCTGCTCTGCTGCGTCTGACGCTGAGTCGAAAAAAAGAAGTCGAACTGGACTGCTAATTTTCCACAGGTCTTTGGGGATTGGGTGCATCTAGCAAAGTGGCGCGTGAAATGATTCAGCAACTGACTGTGTGGTCTTCCAAATTCAGCTGGTGCAGCGGTTTACCATCCACAATCAGAGCGCCAACAAAATCAAAGACTGTGAGGTGCCAGGATGAAAAATGACCTTCCTCCTGGTCCTAGCCGAATGTTTTGCGCAAAGAAAAGCAAAGGGAACCGCAACAAACCATATAGATAATAGATATACAAAAAAAGATCAAACATGTCTTCTGTCACTGATGGGTTTCACCCAGTTCCAGTGTTCACGCATCATTGCTTCGACCAGCTGGCATTTGACACCTACACACAGGCGAATAAGATCCTTTGGAACCTGAGAGCTATGCGGCTATGCAGCTCCCTTTCCACTTGTATTTGCGAATCTAAATCAGCAGCCGATTAGGTGATTAGGTGTCCCTCCAAGGTCCTTCTATGGTGGTGCAAGCGGCCCTCTAGGACCCCGACGCCCCCGGCCATGCTGTCGGCTGCACAGCCTCACCAAAGGATAAGCATCCTATAAGATATAGAGATGCACCAAAACAAGAAATGTAAATCCTAAAGAATGTATTGGAAATCGTTTCTATATCGTTTCTATCTATTTGGGGGCCTCTATAGCTGGTACCACCATCTTGAGATTGCAACAACTACTGCTTCAAGGTTGCAAACCGCTTGGTGAACTTGAAGTGTTCGCTGGTGAAAAAGCACCCCAGCCCCTTCAAACACGGGGTAGACGGTCTTGACTCACACACACACACAATTTCATGTCCAGGTCCTTGTTTCCAGCAGCCCCAACAAAAACAAACATCCGGAGGTTGCGACGACGCAGTGACCAGTACCTAGTCCCTAGCTCCAGGATTTCATTGGTCCAAATACCATCTACTTGCGCACAACCCAGTTTGGGTGGCTTTTGGATGACAAATGCATCGTGAGGGGTGTCTATAGACCACCCAAACTCCGTGGTGCGGGTCATTATACATGGCAAATGGATGGTGGGCACACCAATGGCGGCTCAAGAACCTCGCGGTGTGTGTGCCGATCAAATCTCCAGACCTCGGATGCCTCCATCCTGCAGGGTGTCTCCGCCTTTTTGACCTAGATCCGAAGATCCGGCTGTGGATCATACTGGTCAATTGTGACAAAGCTTTCTTTTCCAAAAATGTGACCCACAAGCCCAACTCTTTTACCTCCGGTCCGGACCGGAGGAACTCACCCGTGTGCGATCGGTGGGCGAGTTTGCGTCGTTTGTCTCGCCTGCATAGCAGCCCTCCTGATCTGGCCAGTGCACCTGGCGCACGTTCAGCCGGAAAGACCCAGCACTTTCAGCGGGAGACCTAATAGCAAAAGGAGCTCAATAGCGATGGCCTCCAACCTGATAGGGGAAAATCACCACTGCCGGAAGCATTGGATTCGTCCTTCTTCCTGGTCTTTTTCAAGTTGCTCCTTGAAGTGCAGCAGGGATATGATCTACTGTATCTCGGGTGCTGCAACATTTCCTTCAACAGTAGCTGCAGGAAAGCCTCCAAAACATGCAGGTTATTGCACGTCTGATTGGTGAGGACTGAGTCAGCATGAGTCATTCTGAATCACAGCCGTGTGCGTTGGTGATCCCTGTGGGATATGTTGAAGAAAGAGCCACTGGGGAAAGTACAAACATCTTGTTGCTACTAGCTTCTTGCTACTAGTCGTAATGCCCTTGTTACTAGTAGGTTCTTGCTACTAGTAGCGATGCACCTGTTACTAATAGCGATGCCCTTGCTACTAGTACCTAACAGTGCGCTCCTTGAGCCTTCGATTCGACCAGTTCCATCGATGTCGGACAGCGCAGTGATGTCTGCCAACATCGATGACGACATCGGTCATACTTCCACTCATCTATTGACTCATCCATATGCTCAGCAAGAAGCCAACCTATGAAAACGACTGGATGCTTTCAACTGTGATTTTAAGATACCTTAAGCATCCCGGTTGAAATTTCATGTGACGATGCGGCCCCAATTTTGTAGACACAATCCATCGGGACACAGGGTGGTCTTTACAAAATGGTGGGCAAACAAAGTGGTTTTGTATAGATTGATGGGCTCTTGATTCGTAATAGATGTCTAAATTGATTTTTCATACTACGAATCTGGTGTTTCGAGGACATTTTAAGTTGAAAATATAGCTAATATGCTGGGGATGTTGTACTGGAGACGCTGGAGCCCTACCAGCCAAGAAATGACGATGAGTCCCAGCATTTCATACAAACCAAAAGGTTAAGATCACATCAGTTTGTAATGGATGCAAAGGGGGAAACAGCAAAAGCATAGCTTACATTAATTTTGTAAAGACTGGGTGGAATATGCAAAGAGTTGTCATATTGTTAAGCCAGGGCACTCTCAACAATAGGGACTACCGTTCTATAGAATCTCTGGACAATGCAGGCTGCACAATGCTTCAACCCAAAGAGGGATCCAAGAGATTCGGAGAATAGAATGGATAAGATGAGACTGGGTCATACTAGATAGGAGTAGGTACAAGGATCTTGAAAGATACAAGATAAAACAAGAGCTATCATTTTGTAGAACAATAAGAGCTCCAAAAAATGATCTTTCAGGGACGCCCATCAAACAGAACAAATGGTAAGGGTAAGCGGGTCTGTATTATGAAAAGAGCTGTCATTTTGCAGAGCCAGGGCACTCTCAACAATAGGGACCATCGACTTACAGAATCTCTGGATCACGCAGGCTGCAACATGCTTCAACCCAAAGAGGGATCCAAGAGATTCGGAGAATAGAATGGAGAAGATGAGACTGGGTCATACTAGATAGGAGTAGGTACAAGGATTTCATCTCTGCATAATTTTGATTTGGTGTGCGAATTCAATGGTCGACACACAACAAACCTGTATAAAAAATATATCTTGAATTCCTCAACACCCCGTCGACCCTCCGATCCTTCTCTACAAATTGGTTGGCTGGCTGGTCTTTGAGAGTGCAAAATCAGAAGATGCTTCTGTACAAAATTGCAGTCCATGCATTTAACCACCAGTACGAAATCTCTACAAAATGAGGGCTACATCGTTTTTTTTTTTTCTATAAAATGAGGGCCTCATCGTCACTTTAGGGGTCTAAACAAAAACGTTTTATACGGGCCCCAGGGCCAGTCATTTTATGCAGGAAATGTTGACCCCTATCCTTAAGCCTTAAACCGAATGATTTGGGTTTGGCACAAGGATGCACAAGGGAAGTCTGGCTCAAGCAAGCCCTTTCCATCATTGGCTCTGTTTCGAGCCCACTCATCGTGTGACCCTGAGGCATTCCGAACGAACGCCTCTCCCCCTGAAGAAGGTCAGCCATGCCGGTGGGAAGATTGAAGGATCTATTCTACATCTTATGGATTCATTTTACCCCAAACATGGATCGAATTAGACGAATTCATTGTTTTAAACCACCGGCCAGACTTACATTTCTCAAAGCTCTGGCCTCGGTCTTTACAGTTTCTTTCTTTCTCGATGTTTTTCGATGGTTGCCGCGGCTGGGGACGTTTTGTGGTCCACCCGGCTGACGCTTTGCCGTGCCTGGCCCTCCATCTTGGACTCCTTGGCCCAGGGGGAGAACCGGGGAAGCCAATCAACCGATAGCTCCAAAGGGCAACCCCCCCAACAGAAAAACACCCCCAAAACACCATAGGAACATGATCCTGTGTAAGATGTGAACAAATGTGAACATCCAAAGCCAAAAAGCAAGCAATAGGATGATCCTGAAGAGCGCCTTGGCAGATTGTGGTGCTTGCAGGTGGTTGTGGTTAGGACCAGCGATGGGACCATTTCTTTCCAGCCAAGTTGTGGCTCCCATTGAAAGGTGCCGATTTCCTGGAATCCAAGCTGATGGAGGTCCAGGACTCTTCTATGCTGGGGCGCATTGCATGGACTGCTTTTTGGGATCCCCATCTTCATGGGCGACGCTGACGCTCGGTTTCCACCCCTGAGCCTGTGCAGGTGGAATCTTCCGACGCCAACAGCAAAAAGACAGGCTGCTTTTGCTTCCTTCGAACATCTGACTCCACAGCTGAAATATGTTACGCACCTTGGAATCATCATGGAAGCGAGTGGAAAACCACCTGTTGCTAGAGGATTTCATGGTGGAAAATGGGCCACACCATAGCACTTCCATGATTCCGCAATTTTCCACTGGAACTACATCCGGTCCCCCCACGAACGGCACTGATCAGATCTTCGGCGAGGCACGGGATTTTGCATCATCGCCTGCACTGGCGTCGTTGTCCCGCCTGAAGGCTGGCCCTCGAAGAGCAGCGCCGTGTGCAGGGCCCTCAGAGTGCCTCAACCGCAAGGGAGCGCGAGTGCTCCCTTACGCGTGTGCCAAGAGCCCACGGGGCCCACGGGTCATCTCACAAGAGCTGTGCTCACATTGCATTTCACAATTTTTTGGGGAGCAGCAAAATGGCAAACCTAATGGCCGAACTCAACATTGGCTCGAACAAATGACACAAATTGTTCGACTTCGACCAGGTTCCACCAGGTTCATTCCCAACCACCGATCTGATCGGCACCCACCTGGCATTGTCCGGCCTGGCGGTCCGGTCAACATCCACGGATGAACGTGACCAACCAGTGATTTGCGGACTTTTTAAGTCATGTAGCCCAGTATCCTCTTGTGAAGCTTGTTCTTCCCTCATACATCCACATACTAGGTCCACGGCTCATGGTTTTGTAAGAATCTTTCGACATGCACATGTTGGAAACCTTTTGCCTGACTGGGTTTCTGGTACTTTCTTGAAATCATCTCAGGGGAGTTAAACATGAGCGTTTCCCTACAACGAAAAACACATTTTACATGTTTGTGGCAACCCCTAAATTACGTGGCCTTTCAAGAACTAACTTGATCTGTTCCAACGTAAGTCAAGTAAAACTACCCGGACAAAAATGATCAACACAGCTTCACCCTTTGTCTCTTCCATCTCACTTGGCCTAATTGAAGAGACTGGACAACTGAATACAGAAACTTCAATTGTCAACCACCTTACAACAACCTGTTGGTCTCTTCCACCAAGAGGGTCAAAGACCGTGGGGACTTCAAGCAGCATCAAAGTTAAGGTTTTCTTCCGGCTTGACATGGCATTGCTACACACTGCAGCATCCCAACATCCTGGGCCGTCCTGGGCCGCCTGCGGCTAGGCCAGGCGCCAGGCTAGGCGCAGTCCTGGCAACTTTGGCCACGACTAGCCCATGCACTTTGCCCAGCAAGGCGGTTACGCAGGCGGCGCAGTCTGCCGCGTCTTGAGCCTTGAGCCTGGTGCCGCATGCGCCATGCATATGGTCAACACCTCAACGGCGTAAAGGAAACGTATACATACATTGATTTATATATATATATATTTATAGAGGGAGAGTGTCGTCCCTAAAGCCCTTACAGTAAAAGGCAATGATCCGGAATCGAAGTCCACCAGGTATTGGCAGTGAATGCTCAAGCAGCCCAAAAAGCATATCATGTTCATTCATGTTTGAATCTCCATACTTTGTGACCGGTCACGAACTGCATCATACAATGTTGATCCTCGCTGGAACAAATGAACAACAAAAGGGTTGGACACAAAGCTTCGTAGTCTCTTACTGAAACATGCTGTGCAACTCAGTGCTCCGCCACCCGCACTTTCACGCAGCTCAGGCACTTGTTCGCTGCAAAGAAAATAGGTCAGACTAGGATCGCGGATCGCGATCTTTGTACGCGCAAGGCAAACATACTCAAACCATCTCAAACCTTCTTGTCCATGGCAGTTGGCTTTTCTGCATCCATGAGCGGTTTCTTCTCTGGGTCTTGCGCCTTCAGAAGCCCTGACAGCGATTTCCACGACAGGGCCGCAAAAATGATCACCAAGCCCACAATCTGAAGCCCGGTCACTGGGTTGTGATACTTCACATAGGACACAAGGATGGACACCACTTGGCGCACATTCATGGTGGCCGCGAAAACCAAGGCTCCGAACTCTTTCACTTGGGAATAGATGCACCACTGGCTGGCGACAGCGGAGCCACTCAACAAGGTGCTGTCCAGTAAAAACTTGGGATGTGCCTGGGCCGTGGCTTGTGAGATCACAATTCTGATTGTGTTGACTGACTACAATGGTTACACTGTTGCAAATACACATATATATATATATACATGTGAAAAAACCGTGCCCATTGCACAAATGTATCTGATATATCTGCGACAGGCACCTTAGGTTCAGGATGGTTCAGGCGAACAAAGGTGGAAGCGGGCGTTTGGGTGGGGGAGGAGCCCTTAAGTTTGTGAGGGGTTTGACACCCCCTGTTTAACTGTTTTCACACACACACACATATATATATATATATATTTGTATATACACATAGCGCTCCCTCCAGAACTTTTCCTGTGCTTTGAATGATGTAAAAAGCTGATCTAACGAAATTTCAGCACCGCCGAGGCTCCAAACCGAAGCCAATGGCCGGCATCAAATCACCTGTGACCAAAAGGGTCATGGTAGAGACGGTGGCTGACAAGCTGTTGATGTAGACCATCTGGTTGTACTTCGTGGTCTGGTGTTCCTTGAAGAGCTTCTCCTGGAAAGTAGATGTTAATCCATCCAGTGCTAAAAACCCACCCAAGAGCACAAAGCCCCACCTCGGCTCTCTTGAAAGGTTTGCTGTGGAACCTATTTAGGCAAAGAAACAAAGATACTGAAAACATCAAACGATGAGAGACAGCTTGGAGGTCCAAGCTACATGCTGTTCCCAGAGTCCACTTTGGAATTCGTGGGTCCGGTCATCAAGAATTCTGTGCACCCGAGTGTGACCGCAAGAGCCACGCCCCAGTCACGTAAGCCATAAGATTTTCCTGAGATGATCATGCCCCAAATCATCACTGGCATCATCTTGAAGCTTTTGCCCAGCATCTGCACTGCAAACGACACATATTTCAAGGCCTCATATTGGCAGGTGCTTGCATAAACATTGGACAAAGACACGATCAAGTACTTCCAGAGTGGTGCCTGGTTTGTCAACTTCTCGCCTTTCGCTACTGCCATTGCCAAGCCAAATATCACAGCCGCCAAGCGATTGCATAGCACCAAGAAGACTGAATACTTGAAGAGGACACCGTCGTAGGGCACTGTCATGATTCCTTCTTGAAAGATTCCATAAAGAACCAAAAAGAAAATGATCCCAACACCATAGATGCCACACCAAGCGGGATGAGTCTGAGTCTGTGCGTTCTCCATAACGCACCGCCGGCAATCGACGTTGCCGAGGAGTCGGTTAGTTAACGGGAGTGACGAGGAACGTGATTCGACGAAAGCGCTTGAGCAACGATCCGGAATCCGAGCGGGAGCCTCCCATTGTGTGCTTCCCAAGTCCAGTGCAACTCCAACGAAGTTTTCAATGACTCTAGACTCTATTCCCAAAGCCATGCTCTAAAGGCGACCAGTTTCGAGAAAGACCAGTTCAGTTTCGAGCAAACACATTAAAAGGGCTATTTTGCATCAACCATCTAACACGAGCCCCGCTGGAGACAAACACAGTATTCAGTTTGGTATTTCCCCCTCTGCAGCGGGGCTCGTGATGCGTCACAGCTGTTTTCATGTTTTAGCTTCAAGCTGTTAGTTCCTTCTTTCTCCTCCAACAATCATGTGAGTCTACCTCATCATTATGTGTTGGGCTTCCCGGACATGACTAGGTGAGCTAGTTCTTCTCTTGAGTGCGTTGTTACCCTCTGAGTGCGCTCTTGTAAGCGAGTAAGTTGCCTAGGTTCCTTCCTCTGGCCATCCCCAATTTTTTGGTACAACATTATTGTTTGTCTGTCCAAAGGGATGTCGAACTTAGAATCTCCATCTGAAAAAACAAACCGTGCATACGGTATCAGAACCCGAGAACCCTGTTGAATTGTCGAAGCAAACCAGGCCTTCAGCAACAAGAAACACCCAAGCACTGTGAATACATGTAATCAAAACTAACTAGGTACGTTTCTCAGGTGGTGCAGTGGTGCAGGATTTTCAATAAGTAGCCACCCTGCAAAGCGCATGCAAAGTTTGGCCGCACCTTTCAGTTTTTGGTGCTACACTTCAAGCAAAGTGTCAGGGACGTCTGGTCGACAACTGCCTTAGTGCAGCGGACAAAGCTGTTTGGCAGGTGGAAAGTGGATGCACTTGCCGCTGTGGAAGAAAGTAATAACATGTCTTGATGGTTGAGGGCTCCACCAACTCCCTGGAAGTGACATGGAAGTAGAACATGGCCCCTTGGACGGCAATATTCCTCTACAACCAGTGCATTTTCCACTTCCATTTTGATCCCAGGGAGGGGACCATGGCCCCATTCTCTGCAAAGGATCGGTGTGCAACGGCGCTGGGGCGAAGATCCGACGGCGCGATTGGGCGTGGTCAGCCGTCGTTGGAGGATTTGAAGAAGGGATGGTGTGAAGATGAACAACTTCTGCTCTTTCATGATTGGCTGGAGGGGAGTGCTTGACAACTTGTGTTTCTATCCAACTTCCTGACGCCAGGGGTGACACAGCTAGCCGCCACCCCTGATTATTGATGTACAGTGAAAAAGGTTGAGAACCCTGGTGTAGTGCAGCAGCATGCTCAAAACATCAGCTTCCTTGTCTGACTTGTGTCTTTTCTTCGTCTCATCAGGAATCCGGGAATGGATGCAAATCTCGAAAGGGGACCATTGCAGTATATCTAAGTCATTCCATCCACTCCCCGCGAGGGACGTGGCTCTTCCTCCCCCCAAGGGCCAGGCTGGGGTTCCGCAAGGCACCCAGGAAGCAGTCGAGGAAGTCCTTAGTACCTCAGCACACCCGAAGCTGCCCCCCTGGGTATTGATGACTCCTGAAATGCCTGCATGTGCCTGCCAAGAGGCTGAACAAGTTCTTTTCCTAGTCTTCACATCACCTTTCAGGAGTATGAATCAGTATGAAGCACTAAGCACTACTGTACTCAACTGTCTAGGTTTCGCGAACCTTAAAGGAAAAAGGAGATATGATATACCTAGATATATGTAGAGGGGGCCTGTCGGAACTTCAGCCCAAGCTGATTAAGCCCAAACATCTGTCCAGTTCTTGTAGCAAGTTGTTTTATTTAGGTCGGACTCAAGAATACACAATGCAATAACAAGGAACAACATATTAATTACCTATTAGATATATTATATAGTATATATATATTATATATTATCTAACTAAATACTTATAACATTTTTGAGTGATTGTGTGATGTAAAGGCCACAAAAGCAGCGTCGCTGGTCTCAAATTAGGATCCGTTTGTCTGGAATAATCTTGCGGAAGTTTGGACAGCAGTCCGCGAGCTCCTCCCAAAGTCTTACGATGCCAAGTGCATCGTCACCTTACCAGCAGTTCTCTGGAGGAAACCAGCCCTCAAGCGCTATCCATCTCTGGGATTTTCCAGCCAAAGCATGTATTACTAGGAGCAAGGACGCTACTAGGGGCTCCTGGCCGTACTACTAGGAGCGATCGGACGCTACGAACGGGGCTCCTAGTTAACCTGACTCCCTGGAGGTGCGAAGCCTGCGGCCGCTTTGTGTGCAGTCTCGTCGTCTCGTCGTCCAGGTCTCCAACAGTTGGACGTACAGTAGATCTGCGAAGGAGCAGGTCCGACCTGGAGGGGGTCCGGTCGCTATCAAAGACCGGGGGGGTTGGGACCTCCCATCCCAGTTGGGTGCCCAATCTATGTCTCTGTCAAGCTGAGGCGAGGTAGCTGCTCATCTTGCCCAGCATAGTTAGTATATAGCTCATGTTCAATAAAAGTATATAAGAGTAACATGCCACTTGAATCGCAGTGTAACGCAGTTGTAAAATGCTTGCAGGCGATAGACTGTACAGAAGCGACCCCCTCACCGTTTTCATTGACGGCAACAATCTACAAGTAGCAATCAGCAATCAGTTCTGTAAACACCTGCAAATGGGGGGCCTCAAACAAGCGATGAGACCCTCCGCGCAAGCAGCAGGTGTGGCACACTGTTGGGAGCACTCATGGGAAGCCATCAATTTTGCTAAGCATGACAAACACAACAAGCAAAACGAGAAAACATGTCCCTTTTCTACCGCACTGCGCACTGCGCCGCAGGCCATGGATCGAGCCATGGGGTTGGCTCCTTTTCTCATCTTTCTCCCCCTTTGCGCCGGACTCCGGAGGACACTCCGCAGGACTCCGCGCTCGTTTCGCAGCACAGCTCAACCATCCGCGGCAGGAAGATCAGGGGAAGATCTGCCTAGCTGTGGCAGTGGCCGCTTCAAGTGCCGCCGCTTCGCTGCCGCGATTTCGACACCGGGACCGCCCAAACGGCGAGGTCCCGGCCGTTGGCAATGGCTGGTGCTGGCAAACCAGTGGTGAACACATTGCAGAATATCGATGTATGTGGCTCCAAGTCTTCTACATGATTGCATGGCCTCGGCTGACCGTGTGGCCGTTGTTTCAATATGTTTCAATCTCCTATTCTCATTCTATTCCGTTCTCATGGAATTCGGGCGGTTCAAAACATGGGGTCCACCAAAGGTGTGCATTGATGTCAAAACAGGTGAAACACCTTCTGGCCATGGGTCAAAAGTCGGCCGGCTGTTCCCAGTGATCAACAAAACTGTTTTAACTGTGAGGGACGTCGACTCCCCTTTGATCCAAATCATCTCATTCAAATCATCATCGCCATCTCCTCATGGCTTCTCCGGCAAATGCACTTCTGGGAGCCTTCGGGCGAAGCCAAAAACACATGGACGAAAATACCTTCCGGTTCACGAAACTGCTGTACCGGGCAAGACGTCCTCTATCTAACAAACACATGTCACCCACCTCCATGCCACGTGATCATCCACGTGTTGTAAAATGTTGTAGACCATCGCACAAATGCAAGCACTGCCCTGGGGACTGCATCTAACTTGAACTAGAACTCCTCATTGACCGGCGAGGTAGGTCTGCTCTTCACCAAGAACTTGATGCAGCACCCAAACATCATCTTCTTATATCCTATTTGTCCTGGTCTTTGGCGGGGTCTTTGGCTCCCAACCCTCAACGGCATGTGGCCGCCACACATGTCGCACTCGTCCACGGACAACCCTCGTCGCGGTCAAACCGTGGCACCTGTCAGGTGAAAGGTGCCAAAGCAGAAGTCAGGAGAGCAAAGATGCGCATCTCTCAACATCCTCCTGAGCCCAACGCGTCTGTTCAGCGAAAAGGTGACCAACCCACGGACGTTGCTAGGCGGTTCTTATATGTAGTTCTCTGCAAACTGGAGGTTGCCAAACCCACGTTGCAATGTTATTAAAACGTGTTTTTCGTTCGGTGCCAGCCTTCGGTACGGCCGCAGGAGTTTCCCACCGAGGAGCAATGGGCGGTCTTGCGCTTTGATTTGCGACCACCAAGTCTCCACCTTTGCGCGTGGCAGGGGCACATTCTCTGCCAGCCTCGGGGAATGTAGTCGTCGCTGGGATCGAACGTGCGATCGTCGCTGGCAACGGTTTATCGTGCGAGCAGCCTATATGTTCAGGGTTCTTTCCTTTCTGAAGCACCAATCAAAAGAGGTGTGGACCATCGACATATATCTGGGTATTGTTCTTGGGCCATCTTGATTCCGGTTCAGAGGTGCACCTGCCATTGGAAGACTAGCTCACGTACCTGCCATCGGATTAGCTACTCAAACTCAAACGACCGCAGTTGGTCATGAACGCATGGTCCCCCTACGATGGACAAACCTGGCTCACTTCTAAATTCTATTATTATATAAATTATCACGGGTGGAAAGATGGAGCTTGGTTCTCAAGAGTTTGAGCAAAGCAAGGTGGCTTGAAGCAAAAGTAACACAACAGGAGCAATAGGATAGAACTGGATAGAACACCGACCTGCCCAAGTCACTGCTTCCTCTCCTCTTCCACTTCCTTCCAGACTTGATCCCAAAGAGCAGCCGGAGCCTTTGTCTTGAGAAGTGACCCGCGCAGGGTCCGCGAAAGGCCCGCAGGGAGTGCACGATGATGATCGCATCCCATTCTGGCTTAAAGTGAACACTAATGTCGAGGAAGGACATCCTACAAAGGGCACCTGGCATACAAATCTGTTCAACAGCACATTGGTTTGCACTTTTCAGGTTGTTTTTAGGTTAATGGTGGGGCATGCTGAGTCCAACCAACAACTCCCCGTGCCATTTTGACCAAATGCCATATTGGGGATTGCTTGCTCAGGCTTTGGACAAATCATGAGGTGAATGTTGAGTTGTCGACAGCCGAATGACTTGCTTCAGCTTCCGACTCTCCGAGTTTGGGGATACAAACTTGGCCTCCATCTATATAACCAGAAAAAACAATGGCAGTAATGCTGGGGGGTCAGCCAGCTGTTCTCTTTTGGAAGCGCCTTGCACCTCCCTCTCTCCCAAATTTTGGTCCAGCAACGCCACTGCTGTTCGCGGTGGTGAAGGGCCAAGCACTTGGGTCGAGCAAGCGTACGCCATCCCCTTTCCAGAAGTCAAAAGGCTCCCAAGGGAGCCACTCCAACTTCCTGAGCTCTGAGCGACGATGGAGCAAGGCGGAGCTTGGTCAATCCATTTCTTGCTGAGTCTGCTTGAGTTTGCATTCGTGAAGCCGTGCCGTACCAATTAGTTGTGACACTGTCTTTTGTCTTTCTGACCAACCACCAGCCCGAACATCCACTCCTCCCCAAGCGCATCCCAAGTGTCTGTCCCTCCTCCTGTGGCCATGCGCGGCCATCAGCCACCGCCCAAGCGAGCGGAGTCCCATGCTCTGCGCAGAAGCGCCTGAGCCGCGCGCCCAAGGCGCTGCCGTAGAGGTCAGGGAAGCTCCCAACCAAGACCTCCCAGCGAGTCCACGTCCGAGGTCAAACGACCGAGCCTTGGGGTTGGAACAAACGCACGTGGGTGCCCTCAAAAGGGCATAAGCACTTGGATTCCGAAAGTGCGACTTAGGAGATGATCCGAAGTCTAAAATCAAGGGCTGGTTCGTTGAAACAACAAAAGGCTGCCAAAGGAAACAACCAAACATGCCCTCAACGAAACATTTGAACTGAAAGCACAGCCCGCTTAAAATCTATCTGCGGGGCACCTGAGAAAGGACACACAAAACTTACCATCCACTAGATGCAAATTCTTGGGTACAAAGGCGCACATCTTGAGTTGAAGAGAGCAACGATGACTCCGGGGCGGCCGCTTGGAGGAGGATAATTCGCGGGTTTTCCGGATAGAATGGTTATGGCCCTGACAGTGGCGAACGGGATTGGAGAATGCTCTGTGAACTGTCAAAGCAGTTCAGGGCTTTGCATTGAAGTTGTGTCTAGTAGCTGTATAACTAAATATGTAGCACCCAAAGTTGGATCTGGCAGCTCCGGGCTGAGAGCTGGCGAGTTCGTAGTGTAAAAGTAATATGGGGTTTGCCGCTTTCAAAGGAGAAATGCGTTCAATTCTTCCCCTGTGCTTGCCGTTTTGCTTCATTCCGGTGTTTTGGTGCTTCCATTGATTGATGTTAACAAGGTGCCTGCGTATGTTCTTTTCTTGATGCAGGTGCTTGAAGTGGCTAGTTGATGCCAGTTGTGTGATTTGTTTTGAATCTGTGAAACTCAGGTCCCATGCCCCGTTCTCATTGAAGAGGGGTCCCGCGAACTTAACGGGCCTTTTTCGGCTCCCACTCATCCGCCTCAGATTCCTTAAGTTCCCAAAAGGGCTCAGTTCAAACTTCCACCGAAACATTGTGCCAGGGCAGCTTGTTTTTCTTTGGTTTAAGGTGTGTCTGAACAATCACATCCTGAAGGTGATGGAAAGGGCGTGAATTCACCTAAACTTTAGCAGCCAATTGGCCGTTTTCCTTTGTAGATTTGTGACTATGAATTCACCAGACAAGTCCAAAATCAAGAGAATAAGTAACAGTAACAAGTACAAAAAACAACAAACAAATCTAGTAGGACAAAACAAGAGAGACGCCAACAACAACACCAACAACAACAACAACGACGACGACGACGACAACAAAAACAACAACAAGGTGTTCTTGTTTTGTTGTTGCTGGTAAGGTACAAACAAACACATCCGCCCAACATAATCGTCACATGTTGTAACTTTGGAACTTCAAGGGGGCACGGTTAGGGATACGGTTGAAGGTTTGAGCAAATGTTAGTTTCGTAGGTAGGTGGACTTGTTGGACTTGTTTCACTGAAGTCTGAGCTGGTTCATTTTTAGTGTTTTCGAGGTGTTGTTCTGGGGGAGTCCAACAAACAACAGCGGGGCTGCAGTCTTTGTTTCTAGGAGGGGTAGAGAACACCTTTTGAGGGGGGGTCCAAAAAACAACAACGGGGCTGCAGTTTTTGTCTGGTAGAGGTTCTAACTACAAAGTTTTACAGAGGCTTAGCTGACTGGCTACTACTACTACTACTACCACTACCACTACCACTACTACTACTATTACTACTACTACTTCTACTACTACTACCACTACTACTGCTACTGCTACTGCTACGACTACGAGGACTACGACTACGAGGACTACGACTACGACTACTACGACCACTACAACTACGACCACTACGACTACGACTATGACTACGACGACTACTACTACGACGACGACTACTGCTACAACAACGACTACTACTAGTACTAGTAGCACTAG